TCATGAAGTGTTAGATACGCCATAAGTTTAATGATTTTTTTTAAGGAGTTTATTTTTAACTTTTTTATGGTTGGAATATTGTCACATTTTTTGTGTTTTAATGTGACAAAACAATTAGGTTAATATTTCTATTTAGATATTTATTAATGTGGATTTGATTAACAAGTAGTAACATTAACACCATGTAATATTGTTTTGTTGATATTTATGATAATATTTTTAAATTATAATTTATAATTTATTTTTAATAATTATAAATTCTAAAAAAAGTGGGCTGGCCCGGCAAGCCTGTAGCCCACGTACTTGTGGGCTGGGCCGACCGTTTTCTGGCCCACACCAAAAATGGGTTAGGCCCGGATGGGGTGGGGCCAGCCCATATTGACAGCTCTATTTTAGACGTTGTATTCGTATTAGAATTTTTTTATATATATAAACTTGTGAAACTCCTAACAAAACTAATTGATGGCTTAGTGGTAAGGAAGAGTTTGTAGAAATACTTTCAAGAAAATGGTCTAAAAACCTCCAATCTATATCCCAAATACCCTAAATCTCATGTTCCCACTTTAATTATCCTATGTGGCATGCCTACGTGGATATATATATTCAACCAAATATTAATTATACCCACTCATCTAACCCATCAAAACCAACTCCTAATTAATATCTTTCATCATCACTCTTGCACGAGAAAATCACGAGACTTTGATAGAGGAAGAGAGCATGGGCCGTATTTCAGATTATTTTTTAGCAAATTTAAAGCTCAGTTTCAGAATGTCCTGTAGAGACATTTCAACACAAAATGTAGCAGCAAGTTGGTCACATCAACATTAATTACACATTAGATTATTTTCATCGTCATTTGACCATTTTTAGCACAAATAACTAACCAGTAACCACACAAAATGCAGCAAAAATTAAGCACTGTTTTAAGTACCCAAACAACACTCTTTCAACACATTTTAGCACTATGTCAACACACACAAATAAAGTAGCAAATTAAGCACAACTCCTTGTGGATGAGCTGCCATAACTCTCTATGTCAAAGTTTCGTGGTTCTCTTAGGAAATTGACAATGAAAAATATATAATTAGGAGTTGGATTTGATGGGTTGGATAGGTGGGTATAATTAATACTTTGGTTGCATATAATATCAAATTAAAAGGAAATATTAAGTGAAATAAATATGCATATCCACGTAGGCATGCTACATTGGATAATAAAAGTGGGGACAAGAGATTTAACCGTCCAAGGGTGAATATGTACCTAAAGTTGGATGGTAGAGACAAATATATCAAAAAAATATGACGGATGACAAATATATGCATATCCACTAACTAATTGATATTATTTTTAATAAATAATATTCAAAATTAGAGCCGTCAAAACGGGCTTAGCCCATGGGGCCGACCCAACTTAACCCGTTATTGGGGTAGAGTTGGAATATGATTTTTCAAGCTTATTTAAAACTAGGGCTTATAAGTCCTGCCCATATAAGCCCTTGGCCCTTAAGGCTTGATCGGGGACGGCCCATGGGCCAAAACTTTTTAAATAAGGTAACTTACAATAATTTTACTAGTATATAATCTAATTACTTAAAGACACGCTATGTTGTAATATTATGATTCTTATCAGATTTTGGTACGTCCAGATACATGTATCTCGGAATATATGGACTCAAAATTAGGTTAATTTGTTCTAGATAGACTCTATCTAAATAGATTCACATGTATCTAGGATACACAGACAAATCTTGTGCCCTCGCCTCCCTCCTATCTTTCTTGTCACTCTCTTATCTCGCTCGCGTATTCGGTATGTGAGATACATGCTAATTACACTAGATTTTTTGCTAGTGTTATTGAAACAACACTATTGTTTGCCATATTTGATTTGAAAATCTTCTCATTTTCTTGATGTTATAGAATTATAAGTTTGAAAGATAATAAATGAAAAAACGAAAAAGAAAAAAATAATATTAACATCTGTTAAAAATAAATGGCCAATTCATTATTAAAATATAATACACATATCTTAAAAATAATAATTCTAATTATATTAAAATAATACTTGAAATTTAGATATAATACATTTTTAACATCGATAATAAGAGAAAAAAATATACCATAGTTATAATATATTTTGAATTTAATATTTTCCTATATATAAGATATTATAGACATGTTTCAATGCACAAGATGAATATATAAGTAAAATATTTTTAATACAAATATATTATAAGATTCTATTATTCCTTAACCCATTTTCTCCAAACATCTCCCAAAGTGGAGTCATAGAGTGTGCTAATAATACAAAAAAAAAAAAATGAGTTCAGAGATGATAGAATCTTAGTTAAGCTGTGTCTCATGCCATTGAAAAAAGAAAAAGCCCAAATCAGGCAAAGATAAGTTGATAAACAGAACACACACACTAAGCTAAACATTCGGCATCAACATCAACATCAGGGTCAGGGGTGAACCAAATAGGAGCTGGTAGAATCCTCTGTATCTTGTCGAGATCAATGGGATAGTAACACGATGAAAAGCTTCCTTCTTTATAATCATAAATGCCCAAATCATGACCTCCACACTTGAGCTTCTCCCTGTGTCTGTAAGCCCAGGTCAGATCATCTGTAAAGTAAATAGAATTGGGCTTCAATTCAGGAAATTGGGTGGTTGAGAGAGCAAAACCGGTATTGGAGCCAATGAAGAATGTACGATTGCCAAGGCTACTGTTGTATTGAAGCTCCACGTGATCATGGTTTATGAAATCAAGCTTGAAAACATCAAAAGTTAGAGTCTGGTAAGGAAATTGATCATCCAAATT